GGAATTCACTGGAGAAGGTGGGAATTTTTATGTCGCTCAAAGAAGTTGGGCGGATTGGGCTTTCGAAACATTGAAGATTTTAACCAAGCTCTCCTAGCTAAACAGGTTTGGAGGGTCTTTATAAATCCGAATTCTTTGACAGCGCGCATCTTCAGGGCTCGTTATTTTCCTAGCGGCACTGTTTTGGATGCGGATGTCGGGGTGTATCCTTCTTTTGTATGGAGATCCTTGTTGTGGGGCAGAGAATTATTAATGGCAGGACTGCGTTGGCGCGTTGGTAATGGATTGCAAATTTCTATTTATGAGGACAAATGGGTGCCACTACCTCATCTCTTTAGAATCACCACTCCTCCACGATTGCCCCTAAACACCCGAGTTTGTGACTTCATCAATGATTCAGGACATTGGGATCGCGAGCTGGTTAATGCTAGTTTCTGGAAACATGAAGCAGATGCAGTGCTCAGTATACCAATGGGATATGTATTACAAAATGAGGACAAGCTGGTCTGGCATTATGAGAAAAAAGGTTGCTACACAGTACGAAGTGGATATTGGCTTGCTTGTGCAATTCGAGATCGCGGAGATGGAGAGGTGGGGGCATCTAGCAGCAACTTTGAGAACATTTGGTTGAGGTTATGGCGGCTGCAAGTGGCTAATAAAGTCAAAGTATTTTTATGGAGATGTATGCTTGAGATTTTACCATGTCGAGCAAATCTTTCTGTGAAGAGAGTAGTATCTAACCCTATTTGCTTTCGATGTCACCAAGCACCGGAAACAGTTTTACATGCTTTATGGGACTGTCCTGCAGCCCGTGAGGTATGGCAATTTTCAGCTCTTCAAGATTCATGTACCTCGAAATATCATGGTTGCTTTCTCAATTTATTCCGCTATATCTTGACTGTATTGACTGATAAGGAACTTAGGCATTTTGGGTATATTTGTTGGAATGTGTGGAATGGAAGAAATGATCAATTGTTTCAAGGCCGTAAGCCCAATGCTTTCCAAAGTTACCAACACATGCAGGAGATGGCAGAAGAATTCTATCATGCGAATTGTACGTATGCATGCGCGACTCAAGAAGGAAGTAACCTGGTGGTGAATTGGGAGAGGCCTCCTGCTCAGTTTTTTAAAATTAATGTGGACAGGGCTTTAAAGACAAATGATAGTGTTAGAGGGCTGGGAGTTGTTTAGAGGGCTGGGAGTTGTTATTAGAGATGATCGTGGAGAGTTGATTGCAGCAGCAGTCAAACCAGTGTGTGGCTTGTTTACGCCCAATGCTACTGAATTATTCGCAATCAGATTGGGTCTACAACTTGCTAAGGACTTGGGGTTGCAACATATATACTTGGAGTCAGATGCACAAGCAGCAATACAGATGGCTTTCCAATGTGATGCAGATTTGGGCTACGAAGGAGTTTTAGTAAATGAAATTCAGGTTTTGGCTAATTCATATTTCATAGTTGTGTTGGTCAGTTTCGACCTCGTACTTGTAATCGTGCGGCTCATAGCCTCGCACGTTTTGCACTTTCTATTTCGGACCTTATAGTTTGGATGGAAGATGGACCTCAATGGTTGTCTCCCATTCTCACTAATGATGTTATGCTTATCTCTTAATGCAATGTTATGATCTGTTTCTCAAAAATGAAATACCTAACCACATGTACACCATTTTATTAACTTAGTATTAGTGACATGGTGTATGCCACATAATTGATTGGTCAAATAACTTTTGAGTGAAGTGATTTTTTGGAGAAATTATAATATCTAAAATTGTTGAAGCGCTCTCTCTATATATAATTATGTTATAAGAGGACATTTAGATGTAAGAAAAATGAGAACATCCTCACTGTGAATGATGGAAACCCTGGGAATGATGTTTACATTAGCCTCACTTAAAAATTAGGGCTTTGCACAAATAGGCCCATTCTAACTTGGCATATTATACAAAAACCTTTATAGAGCCTATTTGGAGAGAAAAACCCAAAAGTAACCACTTGTCAATTTTTTAATGAGTTTTTGTATAATATGTCAAGTTAGAATGGGCCTATTTGTGCAAAGCCCTAATTTTTAAGTGAGGCTAATGTAAACATCATTCCCAGGGTTTCCATCATTCACAGTGAGGATGTTCTCATTTTTCTTACATCTAAATGTCCTCTTATAACATAATTATATATAGAGAGAGCGCTTCAACAATTTTAGATATTATAATTTCTCCAAAAAATCACTTCACTCAAAAGTTATTTGACCAATCAATTATGTGGCATACACCATGTCACTAATACTAAGTTAATAAAATGGTGTACATGTGGTTAGGTATTTCATTTTTGAGAAACAGATCATAACATTGCATTAAGAGATAAGCATAACATCATTAGTGAGAATGGGAGACAACCATTCAGGTCCATCTTCCATCCAAACTATAAGGTCCGAAATAGAAAGTGCAAAACGTGCGAGGCTATGAGCCGCACGATTACAAGTACGAGGTCGAAACTGACCAACACAACTATGAAATGAATTAGCCAAAACCTGAATTTCATTTACTAAAACTCCTTCGTAGCCCAAATCTGCATCACATTGGAAAGCCATCCGTATTGCTGCTTGTGCATTTGACTCTAAGTATATATGTTGCAACCCCGAGTCCTTAGCAAGTTATAGACCAAATCTGATTGCGAATAATTCAGTAGCATTGGGCGTAAACATGCCACACACTGGTTTGGCTGCTGCTGCAATCAACTCTCCACGATCATCTCTAATAACAACTCCCAGCCCTCTAACACTATCATTTGTCTTTAAAGCCCCGTCCGCATTAATTTTAAAAAACTGAGCAGGAGGCCTCTCCCAATTCACCACCAGGTTACTTCCTTCTTGAGTCGCGCATGCATACGTACAATTCGCATGATAGAATTCTTCTGCCATCTCCTGCATGTGTTGGTAACTTTGGAAAGCATTGGGCTTACGGCCTTGAAACAATTGATCATTTCTTCCATTCCACACATTCCAACAAATATACCCAAAATGCCTAAGTTCCTTATCAGTCAATACAGTCAAGATATAGCGGAATAAATTGAGAAAGCAACCATGATATTTCGAGGTACATGAATCTTGAAGAGCTGAAAATTGCCATACCTCACGGGCTGCAGGACAGTCCCATAAAGCATGTAAAACTGTTTCCGGTGCTTGGTGACATCGAAAGCAAATAGGGTTAGATACTACTCTCTTCACAGAAAGATTTGCTCGACATGGTAAAATCTCAAGCATACATCTCCATAAAAAATACTTTGACTTTATTAGCCACTTGCAGCCGCCATAACCTCAACCAAATGTTCTCAAAGTTGCTGCTAGATGCCCCCACCTCTCCATCTCCGCGATCTCGAATTGCACAAGCAAGCCAATATCCACTTCGTACTGTGTAGCAACCTTTTTTCTCATAATGCCAGACCAGCTTGTCCTCATTTTGTAATACATATCCCATTGGTATACTGAGCACTGCATCTGCTTCATGTTTCCAGAAACTAGCATTAACCAGCTCGCGATCCCAATGTCCTGAATCATTGATCAAGTCACAAACTCGGGTGTTTAGGGGCAATCGTGGAGGAGTGGTGATTCTAAAGAGATGAGGTAGTGGCACCCATTTGTCCTCATAAATAGAAATTTGCAATCCATTACCAACGCGCCAACGCAGTCCTGCCATTAATAATTCTCTGCCCCACAACAAGGATCTCCATACAAAAGAAGGATACACCCCGACATCCGCATCCAAAACAGTGCCGCCAGGAAAATAACGAGCCCTGAAGATGCGCGCTGTCAAAGAATTCGGATTTATAAAGACCCTCCAAACCTGTTTAGCTAGGAGAGCTTGGTTAAAATCTTCAATGTTTCGAAAGCCCAATCCGCCCAACTTCTTTGAGCGACATAAAAATTCCCACCTTCTCCAGTGAATTCCTTGCTCCCCATTACTCTTTCCCCACCAAAACTTTGCAAATATGGAATGAAGCTCTTTGACAACAGACTTAGGCATTCTGAAGCAGCTCATGGAATAAGTAGGGACCGCTTGAGCCACAAACTTAATTAGAATTTCCTTACCAGCATTAGATAAAAAAATTTCCTTCCAACCTTGAACCTTCCGCTTGACCCGCTCCTGGACTGTTAGAAATAGAGAACGCCAATTCCTCCCCACCACCGTTGGCAGCCTAGAGATATCGCTCATGGCAAGCCACAACAGGCACTTGCAGTATATTCTTTGCTACATCAACAATTTCCGCTGTTACATTTGAGCTAAAAGACACCGCAGATTTGTCAAGATTTATCTTCTGGCCCGAAGCTTTTTCATAGGTAGCAAAAATTCCTTTGACAATTTCAAACACTTCCCTTTTGGCCTCTAGGAAAATCAGGGAGTCATCGACAAAGAAAAGATGAGACACTGGTGGGGCTTCAGCCGCCACTTTCACTCCTCTGATATGTCCCAATTGCACAGCTTGTTGAATGAGACCTGTAAATCCCTCTGCACAAATTAAAAAAAGATATGGGGATAAAGGGCATCCTTGTCTAATACCTCGATGCGGGGTGATATGTCCAAGAGGATTGCCTTGCCACAGGACCGAGAAGGAGACTGTAGTAATACAATCCATGATACGAGTTACCCAACTCTCCGCAAAGCCTAAACGTTTCATCATTGCCTCCACAAAACACCATTCCACTCTGTCATAAGCTTTCGCCATATCCAATTTTAGAGCCATTTTAACACTGCTCCCACTTCGTGGCCCTTTCATATGATGAACCACCTCAAAAGCGGACATGACATTATCAATAATATGTCTTCCTGGAACAAAAGCACTCTGTGACTCAGAAATTACCTCTGGTAAGACCATCTTCAATCGATTAGCAAAAGACTTAGCAATCATCTTGTAAAGGACTGTACACAAACTTATGGGCCGAAAATCGGTGACTCGAGGAGGTTGGGCTATTTTCGGGATCAACGCAATTAAGGTTTGATTAAAATCTCGCACACTACCTTCCCCGTTTAGAATGCATAGGCATGCATCACTGACTGAATCACCCACTATATGCCAGTAGCGTTGGTAAAATAAGGCAGGCATCCCATCAATTCTAGGAGACTTGGTTGGATACATCTGACCAAGGGCTTGCTCCAACTCCAAATGATTAAAAGGACGTAGAAGGATTTCGTTCATATTCGTTATAACACAAGGAGTTATAGCTGCCAAAACCTGTTCCATATCTTGACCACCTGTCTGAGTGAAGAGACCATTAAAATAGCTGCAAAACATGGACCCAATATTATCACTATCTGACTGCCACACATTACTATCATCGAAGAGCCCCCGAATGGTATTATTTCGCCCCCTAGATTTAGCCTTCTCATGGAAAAATCTAGTATTTCGGTCGCCTTTTTTAAGCCAAGTGACTCGAGAACGTTGTTGCCACATTGTCTCCTCTACCTCCAATAAGTCATTTATTTTTCTCTCGAATTCTTGTCTGCGAGACACCCAAACTTGTTCAAACTTCCCATTCTGTAATTTGCGCAATTCAACATGGGCAATTCGCAGTTTCTTTTGAATATTACCAAAGTGTTGGCGGTTCCATGAGGTCAAAGAGTTAGCACAGTGAGCAACACTAACCGTAACGTTACTGCAGGACCCCCTTGTATCCTTCCATGCCTCCTTAACCACGTCTTCACAACTAGCCTCTTGGACCCACATTTGTTCAAACTGGAATCTGCGCGTGTTCCTCCTTCCTTGTTGCTGAGTCAGTGTAGTGGATACATTAAGAAGGATAGGTTTGTGATCAAATCCCACAGTGTCTAGATGTTGAATCAGCAAATTAGGAAATCGATTAAGTAGATCTGCATTAGCCAAACCTCTATCCAAATGAACCTCTGTCATGATACTTACAGTTCTTTTCCCTGCCCACGTGAAGGGGTAGCCCTTAAAAGGAAGAGAAATTAGAGAGCAGTCACGTATGACATTTTTGAATTGTGTCATTTGTCCAATTGGTCTCTCCCTGCAACCCTGTTGTTCTTCTGCTGATAAGACTTCATTAAAATCACCCAATACCAACCACGGTCCATCAACTCCGTGGTGCAGTCTTCGTAGCAACTTCCAAGAATGTTTTCTATTGTGGACTTCAGGATGACCATAAAAACCTGTGACATGGAAAGCATCCCCATTTGGCGAATGAACAATAACATCGATGTGCCCTATTGAAGATGATAGTAAATTCATACTCCATCCATGTTTGCACAGCATCATTAGGCCTCCACCCATCCCTACACGTTTCACTACAAAAGCCATATTCATCCCAAGCCGATATTTCACCTTTTCCATTTGTGTCTCTGTCATAAGGGTTTCCATGAGAAAAACCACGTCAGGGAACTTCTCCCTCAAAAGGAGTTTGAGGGCACGGAATGTTTTAGGGTTCCCAAGCCCTCAAACATTCCAACTTAAAATAATCATTGCTCATGGTGGGCCAGCTCCACTGGTCCCACCATGTTATTGACTGTCGTCATGTTTTTTGAACCATCAATTCTTCCTTTCTTGCTTCCCCTCGCTGTTTCCATCTCATCCTCGCTTGTTTTACGCTTGGTCCCTAGCACCACATTGATTTTTTCCGTAGTAACTCCAGGCTCAGTACCCCTTGCTTTCTTTTTCCATTTTCCTCCTCGGACTAAAGTTTTGAGAGGAATAATATCCATATTCATTGACAGCTCATGCTCTCCATTGTGTGGTTCATTGCTTACCACTTTAGGATTTTGGAAAAAAGTTGGGTCTGCCTTGTAGTTGATGCCTTTGTTAGTAATTTTTCCTCCACCATTAGAGAAGTCCAAAGGCTGCCCAGGCCCCACTTCCTCTACCACCGAAACTGTTTCCCCCGCATTTACTATTCCTTGAATGCCTTCCCCTGATTGTCCTCCCAATGATTCTTTGAAACGTGCTGCAGTCAAATTGATAATAGGCGTTAATTTGGGGAGCCATTTATTATGCTCGTCATGAGGAGAAACGTTGATATCTTTTGCTTTTGCTCCAGCCATAATGGGTGTAATAAAATTATCCCCTAAATCATTGTAACTGCTGCCAACCTTTTCCTTCCCCTTCACTTTATTGCACTTGGCTATTGAATCAATTGCCACGTCAGCCCTAGTGTTTTGTGGGCTAAGTGGCGTATCCCCACCATGATGTCTGCCGTCACTCCGTCGTCCACCGTCTTGGGTGGCCTCCCAAGCCTCCAATCTTTTACGCCGCTGCAATTCCTCCTCTTCTTTGTGCCTACTCGCCTTTGCAGGAAAAGGCATTGTCATCTTGGCTCCCTTTCCGGAAGAAAGATCATGTTCATCTGTCATTAAGTTAAGAGATTCTCCCCTTGGACATGGCGTTTCAATTTCTTTCTGACCTACTCCTCCATCCTTGATTGAACCTCCACTCTGTGCGTCTTTTTGAAGTGGACCTTTGCCCTAATTACTTGGCCTCTTGGGGCTTGTTGACCAAGGTTTCGCAGAATCGTGAATCACCCTTAAGAATGAACCATAAGGGTTATCTTTTGCACTTTTGACCACATCATCCACAAATGTGCAAGCACCCATAATATGTCCCATTCGCCTGCAATTGTAACAGAAATCTGGTAGCCGCTCATAACGAAAATCAACCCGCTCTTGTTGTCCTGATGGAAGTGATATCTTTGTCCCCCATTTGAGTGGTTTGGTTATATCCATCTTGACACGCACCCGTAGAAACCGACCCATACATTCTCCCTCCTGTCCTTGAGTCACGTCTATGCATTCACCCATACAGTTTCCAATTTGTCTCCCTGTTTGCACCGTCATGCCGAGCAATGGGACGTTATGAATCTGGACCCAGAACTCAGCAAACTTCAAAAGCATCCTTGATGGCGCAATATTACCATTCGGCTCTTCCAGAAGCACCAAGGCTTTATCAAAATTCCACGGACCGTTGCGAAGTACTCGGTTACGGTCTAACTCCTTTGCAAAGATGAACAAAAAGAGGTTCTCCCCTAAATCTTTCTCTCTGACTTCCCTAGAAGTGTTCCAAATCTTCATCATAGTCTGTTTAAAAGCTTCACAATTGAAAAGCTCGGTTGTTAGCACCTTGCCCACCAAAGCAGTTTTCAACCTTTCATGGACGTCATCTTCATCTGCTTCTCCTATTGGCACAACATCAGTTTCTTCTTCAGTGAGGAGGAGAACTTTGTCAAAAGAAGTAATGACTCCTCCATCTCGTCTCCCCAAAATACAGAAGAGGATCGCTTAGTGAATCTTCTCAAAAGAACAAAGAAAGAGAAATTAATTTGGGATGTAAAACCTAGAATAAACTCTAGGGGAAAACCCTAACAAAGCCGTAGGGGTGTAGAGCTCTCACGTACCCGTAGGGAGAGAAAAAAAAGCCTCCTTCGTAGACTACTACGCACCTTTAGTTGTGGTGAAATTATATCTTGAGAATAAAAATAATTTATCTATCAAAATCTTTAGAGGAAAGCAAAGATTTGTCAGTGACTAAAATTAGTCTATAATAAAACGAAATCCACCACTTTTTGTATTTCCTTTAAAATCAATGAGTTTTTGAATACACCCAAACTTTTATTCTTTTAAAGTCGTGATTGAATACATCCAAATTTGAATGGAGTTTAAAAAGTCTAAATTGAATATACCGAGAATTGTATAGACTTCTATAAAATCATGATTGAATACACCTAAACTTTTAAACTTCTTTAAAATCTTTTAAAATCTAAATTGAATACACCCCCTAAGACTCTCAATAAACCTCGCTTTGCCTGTTCGTTACAATTCCTCAGTATTCTGATTTTCCAAAATATTCCAATCCTAGTTTTGAAAAAAGAAAAGGCCAAAGCTCCTCACTATGTATTCTCCTGTTCATTTGATTGAGGAATCTGATTTTCTCATGTAAAAGTCGAAGCTTCTGTGGGATCGAGGCTATCCTTTTCTTCACAGCTTGATGCTGATCTCTGTCTTGTTAAAGCTCAAATTCTTAACCTTCTAAATAAGTAAAATTTAAGTAGAGTGTTCTTTAGGGAAAACCATTTTCCTCCTGCGTCTATAAATTCGTTCATAACAGAGACAACAAACTATATGAGTCTTTAAACCTTGTTCAGTTTTCCTTAATTAAAATAAGCATTCTGCTCTTTACTTGTCTTGAGCGTACATACCGAAGGGTGAACTTATGGCTGCTGAGTTTGTGCTTACTTTTGCTGCCCAGGGAATACTGACCAAGGTCACTGCACTC